AGTCTGTGGTGAGTTCAGGTGTCTGTAATAACAGTAGGACAGTCTGTGGTGAGTTCAGGTGTCTGTAATAACAGTAGGACAGTCTGGTTAGTTCAGGTGTCTAATAACAGTAGGACAGTCTGTGGTGAGTTCATGTGTCTGTAATAACAGTAGGACAGTCTGTGGTGAGTTCAGGTGTCTGTAATAACAGTAGGGCAGTCTGTGGTTAGTTCAGGTGTCTGTAATAACAGTAGGACAGTCTGTGGTTAGTTCAGGTGTCTGTAATAACAGTAGGACAGTCTGTGGTGAGTTCATGTGTCTGTAATAACAGTAGGACAGTCTGTGGTGAGTTCAGGTGTCTGTAATAACAGTAGGACAGTCTGTGGTGAGTTCAGGTGTCTAATAACAGTAGGACAGTCTGTGGTGAGTTCAGGTGTCTGTAATAACAGTAGGTGGTTTATTAATCACACAAAAGTAAAAACTGAGGAGAAAATGATTTATTGATGTTAAAATGAAACATGTAGCACCTTTAAGAGTCATAAAGATGTTGAAAGACACATGATGGATTTATTCTTTCATCAACAACTCCCAACACATCTGGTTGGTTGGTTGGTTGGTTGGTTGGTTGGTTGGTTGGTTGGTTGGTTGATTGATTGATTGATTGGTGTCTTTGATTGATTGATTGGTGTCTTTGGTGTGTGAGTCAATGTGCAAATATATTCGTGCGTCTGTGTGCTTGTGCTTGTTTTTAGTGTTAATTGAATGTCAAGGTAATAATAAAGGTTTTCTACGACTAAAAGAAGTACGTTTTTAAGGTAGAATGAGGATTTTAACATTGTTCTCTTCTTAAAGCCTGAAGAGAAGATAAATAAAAGTAAAGGAGGAATAATATTTTCTTTTGTTTTAAGGGGAGTAAAGCTGTAACTTTATCAACAAGGAAAGAGCTTTAGGGTTAAAGTGGATTTGTTCGGGAGAATAAAGGCTTTGCTGAGGTTCAGGTTCTGTCAAAAATAGACCAATAATAATCAAGGTTTTTCTTACAGTATTGTCAAAAACAAAGGAGTTTTGACATTATAGAATGTTCATTATAAAAAAAAGACTTAACTGGTAGAAAAAGAGTTTGTGACACATTTAGGTGAGATAAAGTTTGTGTAAAGTGTTTAGAGAAGGTTTTGGTTTTCCTGTAGTGTGTTGGAGTTTTCCTTTTAACTTTACACTTCCACCTTAAAAGGTTTGTGTGTGTGTGTGTGTGTGTGTGTGTGTGTGTGTGTGTGTGTGTGTGCTGAGGTCAGCTGAGTCCTTCAGCTTTGACCTGCAGGACGTCACTCAGTCCGGGACGTTTCTGGAGAACCTGAGGAACAAAAACACACCGTCAGTAAACCAGTCGTAATAAAACGTAATGGTAGTCTGAGTCTCCTTACTTTGTAGCCAATGAGAGAGTGACGTTGTTGCTTTGTAGCCAACGAGAGAGTGACGTTGTTGCTTTGTAGCCAACGAGAGAGTGACGTTGTTGCTTTGTAGCCAACTAGAGAGTGACGTTGTTGCTTTGTAGCCAACTAGAGAGTGACGTTGTTGCTTTGTAGCCAATGAGAGAGTGACATTGTTGCTTTGTAGCCAACTAGAGAGTGACGTTGTTGCTTTGTAGCCAACGAGAGAGTGACGTTGTTGCTTTGTAGCCAACGAGAGAGTGACGTTGTTGCTTTGTCGGGAATGAGAAAGTGATGGTGTTGTGGTTTTAATCAGCCAATCAGAGAGCAGGATTTAACTTGTCTCTCTCACCTTTAGTGTGTTGAGGATTTCTCCAAACAGATGTTGAGCTTCCTGAGTGTCCGGCTCTTCAAAGTAATCCGACACAGCGACCTCGACCATTATAGATCTGATGTTACCACACATACCTGCAGAGACACATTGATACATCATTTAAGTTGTATAACTTATATAACTAACTAATATTAATAACAATAACAGTAAGTGTCTCACTGTGGAAGTGGAGGATGGCCTGACCGCTGACAGGTGTGTGAGTCAGGATCAGCGTCTCCAGACTTTTCAGTCCTGCTTTACACAGCTCTGTCGCCGCCTGCAGGCCGAGGTCGGCAACACGCTCCAACTCCAACACCTGCAGGTGAGCACAGGTATGCACTGCAAACACACAACCAAGAATCAAAAACACATTTGTTTACTATTTAGGTTTGGCAACGTCCAGTTATGTTTTTATTACAAAGGTCGTTGCACCAAAACGTCCAAAAAACATGCTCACCCAAAGCAGCCAATCCCTGAGTCCCACAGCCGGCCCCGCCCACACTGAGAGAGTGGAGGTGTGGCCAGCATCGACCAATCGTCTGCAGGCAACGGTTTCCAAAACGAGTGGGTTGTTGACTGAAAGAGAGAAGTAATGAAATGATGGATGAGTTTAAAAGTAATATAATTGAATATTTTAGTCTGTGTTTACTCACCAGGGGTGAGCCGGAGCCACCTGCAGGCTGCTGATGTTCCTGCAGCCTGCACCCAGGGCCCAGAGAACCTCGTGACCGAGAGGATCGGATGAACTCCTGCAGGAGCAGACAGGTAGAGAGACAGACAGGTAAACAGACAGGTAAACATAAACAGACATGTAACAGTCAGGTCAACAGTCACCTGTAGGTGAGGATCTGGAGGCTCCTGCTGTAGCAGCTGGCGAGCCACAGCGTCCTGTCAGTGAGGATGTGAGGACACTGAGAGACAGACAGGTGGAGCAGACTGCCCCCTGCTGAGCGCAGCAGGGACTCCACCCCCGGCTCCACACTGCCGCTGAGACGGGAAACACACAGGCAGGTCAACTACAATACCCACAATGCACTTTCCCTCTCAGGCTGTCACACCTCAGTGTCCTGTTTGTCTGCTCTGTGTTACCGTGTGTTCTTGTGGTAATCCTCTCGCATCTCGTCGGCTCGTCTGCTTCGAGGCTTCAGGTTGTTCAGAACCACAGACTGAGTCTGAGTGCACCACTGAGACAGAGTGGTGAGGAACTACACACACACACACACACACACACACACACACACACACACACACACAGAGAAACACACTGAATGTGGATCCATCCGCCGCTGAAAATAGTCCCCAACCAACGCACTTATTTCTGTGCCTCATGTGACTCATAACGAATCATAATGTCTTGATTTAAATGAATTTAGTGTTTAAATATAATGATGATGATGATGCTCCTCTACCTCGGCGGACACTCTGGCGTTCTCCAGACGGAGGTGTGTCCAAACCGCCGGGTGCCTGGCGACGAACCTCCAATCTGAGCAGACCTCAGCGGCGAGCAGCAACGAGCGCACGTCCAAATAAGGAAGCACGCAGAAGAGCCCCGCCCTCAGCCTCAGGGACTCCGCCTCCAGCTGTCTGTCGCCGTGACGACGGGAGGGGGTGGAGCGGCGGGAGGAGGAGGAGGGGGGGGCTTCTGCAGAGGAAAAAATATCTGGGCTTTTATTGTGAAGGAGCCACAGGAAGTGATTGCAAACAAAGTTACACGGAGATGCAGTTCACCTGAAGCAGGTGTGTGCGTCCTGGCGAAGACCAGCCTCCCCAACTCAGCGCTGCTCCAGAATCCCTCCTCCTCTTCCTCCACCTCCTCTTCTTCATCTTCCTCCTCCTCTTCTTCAGTGCTGTAGTGCCGACGGTTTCTTTTGCTCCACGTTCTCCCACATCCTCCATCCTCGACCCTGGAAACACAGGAAGAGAAGAATGAGGAATGAAGCACATTTTCATCACCATCCATCCAATAATAGTCGAGATGTTTCTGTCTAAATAAGCTTAAATATTCAGGTCTGTGGATCTTTTACGTACCACGGTCTCTCTCGGTCCCGTCTGGTCCAGGGTGGTGGATCGTAGAGGTCTTGATGGAGGTGGACTGGCCCCCCCTCGCCGTCCCACCCACCTGAACCTAGAGACCAGGTCCGCATACGACCAGTCAGTCCACTGGGAGACAGAGAGAGAGGACATGGTTCAGTTACTGTGTTGTTACATCACTCAGCAGACCTGAGGCGATGCGTTCAGGTAGCTGAGGCGATGCGTTCAGGTAGCTGAGGCGATGCGTTCAGGTAGCTGAGGCGATGCGTTCAGGTACCTGTGGCGATGCGTTCAGGTACCTGAGGCGATGCGTTCAGGTAGCTGAGGCGATGCGTTCAGGTAGCTGAGGCGATGCGTTCAGGTACCTGAGGCGATGCGTTCAGGTACCTGAGGCGATGCGTTCAGGTACCTGAGGCGATGCGTTCAGGTACCTGAGGCGATGCGTTCAGGTACCTGTGGTGATGGTGGCTGTACAGCTGCTCTCCCAGCCGGTAGGAGCCGGAGACACTGTAACTCCTCTGGAGGACGAAGAAGAAGAAGGAGATGTTGGAGGAAGCAGGAAGAGCATCTACTTTAATTATTGTTTTTTGTTTTTCTCACCCGGTTGCCGATGGTTCCCTGCATCTTGTCGGTGATAACGTCGTCGGTGCTGCCGTCCAGGCTCCGCCCCCCTCGGCCCGGTGCAGGTGCGTATCCCTCGTACGGGTCGGTGTGTGTGTAGCGGTGGTGGTGGTGATGTGTGTGTGAGCCGAGCAGCAGTAACTGTCTCTCTGCACGGTCGGCTCGTTCCAACAACGTCTCTATGAACACCTGATGAATTAATAAAACACATTCAGTTCACTGCTCTGAGATATATGATGGTGTGTGACGACAATAGAAGACAATAGAAGATCTTTGGAGGTCACCTGCAGTCTGGATTTAGCCTCGGCCTCTTTCTCTGCCGTCTCTCTCAGGAAACACTCGATGCCCACCATCTCCCTAAAACACACACACGTGTAGACCCCATTTCTATTGGTGAACATGATGACGTACTTTTGTGGGCGGAGCTTATGTGGAGGCGTAATAATTCTCTGAACACATTTTAGTTTTACTTTAGCGGGAGGAGAGCAGAAGAGAGAGGACGGCTAGCTAAAAACAACAATATGTAGATGTAACGTGAAGCCACACACACCGTGTGACTGACCACACACACACACACACACCCACACACACACACACACACCCACCCACCCACCCACCCACCCTCAGGGCTGCTGCCATCTTCCATTTATCATCACAGCAAACAGCAGCTGTGTGTGTGTGTGTGTGTGTGTGTGTCTCCAGTGATGAGAATGAACATGACGTGTCCTCAGTCTGCATCGTGTTGTTTCTGTCTTCATGCTGCATAACGTATCACATAAAAGATATCATTCAGTACTTCTGTTCCTGTAATGTTGTGAGGGATGTAAACAGGAAGTACAGTATGGATCCAGTGATACATGCTGTGGGCTACCACTTGTTTGGTTTTGCCTATATTTATTTACATTTTAGGCAAACTGTCACCACTAAAAACAAGCTGAATGATGTATTGGCAGCTCCTGTTTGCAGTGAACACGTGGATGTACACACACACCTACCACCGGATTGCTTTTTATTGTGAGCGATGCATAACTATGTAGAGCTGGTGATCGATGGAGCTCTAGATGGTTTTGATGAGTTTAGTTTAGTTTCTCTTGTGTGTCTGTATGGCTGCAAATCAAATTAACTGCTGCGGATTCACAGAAGATGTAAAGAGTCACTGACTGCTGTCGTTCACTCAGCTCTCTGTCTTTTCCTTCCAGATCTTTCTTGAGTCGCTCCATCATCTCCGTGGCAGCAGAGACCTGGAAGATAAGAACAACCAAACCCTGTTTAAAACCTTTCTTTATCTCTTATATCTCCACGTTTAAAGTCACCCTCACCTGTCTGGACAGGTGCGTCGCCCTCTCCTCCACTTCCTGCTTCTCGCTCTTCAGTCGCTCGCCGCCACGCCTCTCCCGCTCTAGCTCCGCCTCCCTCCTCTGTAGCTCCGCCTTCAGTCGACCCACGCGGCGGTTCACCCTCTCCTCCACCTCCGCGAACGTCCGGGCGATTTTGAGATCCAGGCCCAGACCCAGCCTCTCCTCCAGCCCGACCCGGACCGAGAGCCCCGACCCAGGGAACAGCTCCAGAGCGGTGCAGGGGTCCTCCTCGGGACGTCCCGCGGGAGAGCCGAACATCTCCCTGAGCAGCTGGACGGAGGCCGCCGACGAGGCCAGATCCAGGCAGGCCAGAGGGAGGGGGAGGCTGTGGGCCTCCACGCCCAGAGAGGAGCTCTGTATTTGGGGTACGGCTCGGCCGGGCAGTGGGAGCAGAGCACCGGATCTGGAGCTTCTGACCCGAGTCTGAAACGTGAGATGAAGTCAGAGCAGCTTCTAAAACAGCAAAGAAATACTTAAAAATCTCTGATTCCAGCTCCTCAAATGTGATGAGTTGATGCTTTTCTTTGCTTGTTATGGCGGTAAAGTGAATATCTTTGTGTTTCAGACGTCACTTTGGACATTTTTTCTCACCACTTCCTGATCGACTGAATTACCTGCGACAGCACCAGCAGCGTCTCGTAGGTGTGTCGGCTGACCAGGTGAGCCCGGAGCTCAGGCACGGACGAGAAACGGAACCCGTCGCCACAGCGAGGGCAGAAGTAGGGCAACTCCGAGGAAGAGGAGGAGGAGGAAGACATGTTCCAAGACCTGGAAGATAAAACAGGAACAATGGAAACGCTGCAGAAGAGAAAGTAACTGGGGTTACTAGAAGTGTGTGTGTGTGTGTGTGTGTGTGTGTGTGTGTGTGTGTGCTGAAGGAATAAAATCTGGGTCAGTGTGTGTGTGTGTGTGTGTGTGTGCGTGCTACACATTTGATTTTGGGGTATAAAGATTTAATGAGGGAGAAATCTGTAGATTAAAAACAGCAAAATGTGTGTTTTTGACTCGTCACACTTCCTGGATGAGCCAGTTGTGTCGAGACATGTTTGAATATCTCACACACACAGACACGCCTGTTGGATTGACATTTGTAGGGCGTGTGTGTGTGTGTGTGTGAGGCTAATCGCTAAGTGAAGCATGCATCTTCCACCCCACTGACTGCATGTGTGTGTGTGTGACACAGGATATAAATATGAAAATGCACGATGATGATGGTGTGTGTGTGTGTGTGTGAGAGGAATTTAAAGATGGATGGATGAGCAGGAAGAAAGAAATGTGAGGGTGTGGTCTCTCTCTGTTTATCTCGTGGATTCTGTTGAACACTAACTTCACTGTTTTCTGGAGCTACTTTTGAACTAGAAACAAACACATTGGCGTCCTTTGTTTACCACCAGTAGCCGCTTAGCTTAGCTCGGTCCAAAGGAAGACAAAATCCGGCACATAGCTCACAAAAATAACATGCTAACCAGAGAGATTTAGAGCTGCTTGTAGGCAGATTTTTGTCCCATTCAGACGGAGCCATGCTAGATGTTTCCACCAGTTTCCAGTCTTTATGCTAAGCTACGCTAGCAGCCTGGTTTCAGTGAGTGGTGTATAAAAGATACGACAATTTGTACGTCATTTAGCGAGCAATAAGAGTGCCGTTATTCCTTTTTACGCATCATTTTTTATGCCATGTAGATAACCAGAAAACTGACTGTACGTGTCCTAAAGTGTTGTTGAGTTAGCTTTAAGTTACGCTAGTGATGTTTGTGACGTGTTTTCCGTACTTAAGTAATATTTTCTCTAGATTTCGTACTTATTTTAAGCCCAGCTTATGTTCTTCCTCAACCTGACCAAGTGGTTTTGTTGCCTAAACCAGACGGCGAGACATCAAACGTCGTGAAATTAAATAAAGTGTTATCATGACACGCAGACTTTCCTTTAGATGTTGTGCTTTTTATACGCTTTAATGCGATCAGGTTGGCTCTACTGCATATTATATATAAGTCCATATTTTATTTATTTTCACACGCTATTTCCACAAAAGAGATCTTGAAGCACTGTGTCAAGTAGGCCGAACTAAAACCCTGGTTTCGGGTCGGGTATCCTCACACTAGTGACCAAACGCCTCGATGTAGCATCAACAAACACCAGAGCTAACGTAGCTAAAATAGCGATATGGTGGATTTGCTGTTTAATCAGACTAAGAATGAGACAAGATTTAAACACCCGCGGTCCCTCTGCCTCACTCAGAGACCACTCTGCCAGGAGGAGAGCGGACGCCAAGCTATCGGAGACGGACTGTAGCTACTTGAATTTAGCCGGCGCTAACCCAAGCTAACCCTAGCTAACCCTAACGCCTCCTGAGCAGCCGTCTGCGCTCTCCTCCCTGTAGTCTCCGTTACCGTAACGTTAGCATGGATTTAGCAAGCTAACGTTAGCTAGCTAACTAGCCAGCCGCTGAATGAGCTGTGCTATTATAGTAATGCTACACATGGTTACTGAACAATTTAATTTAATGATCGAGGCTTTTTAGTCATCATGATTTTAATTTATCTACTTTACTACGTATCATATAATATATATCTTATATTATAATATATATGTTATGAGATGTAATATAATATATATATATATATTATATGTAATAATATATATATTATATTATTACATATAATATAGCAAATATTTTCTTCCTCCTTTAATTTGTGATTTAAAAGTGAGATAAAAATGTCTTCAGTTTAGTAAATAATTGAGTTTAATTGACCACCAGAGTCTGACCACATTTAAATGTAACACATTATTTCTGTGATAATTTAGTGTTTTTAAATCAAACATTAAACCACCTTAAAGAGCAGAATCGGTACTTATTGTAGCTTGAATCACATTTAAACAAATTAAAATAATATAGGATAGTTTAACAAGCCGTTCAGACGGTTAATACGTCATGATTTTACCGGGTAAATAACTCAACTCTCACCTGTGCACGTGCACGTGACGCTGCGTCAGTTGGTCAGTTTCAGCCGTTTTTATTTTCCCGCTGAAGAAGCTCATTCCGTCCTCGCGCGGATCGATCAGTTCGCTCGATTCTGAACTGGACTGTCGCGTGCAGCCGTTGCCTCGTGTGTGTGTGTGTGTGTGAAGGAGATCCAACCGCCGCCCCACGCGCCCCCTCCTCGCGGCGTGCAGCCGGTGACGTAAAAAGCCGCGTGACGTGCCAGTTGTGATGTGATGGCGGAGCAGAAGAGGGCGGGGCTTAGATTCATCTATTCAGAAGTAGAAATACTGTGAAGTAAAAAGTACTGTAATCTGTGTTTTACTGCAGTAAAAGTACATCAAATATACTGAAATTAACAAAAGTAAAAGTACTCATTGTGCAGAATAATAATGTATGTTTTTATTATTGAACAATAAATAAAGTAAAAAATTTAAAGTAGCAGAAAATGGAAAGTTCAAGTACCTCAGTATTGTGCTGCAGTATAGTGCTTGAGTAATGTACTTGTACTTAGTAAGTACTGTGTCCTTGTACTTACTAAGTCCTGATAACTTCCTGTGTTTTATAGATAAAATACCTGCATGTTGGTTCATAACTTACATTTTTGATCATCTGTAATTGTACTTGTCTTGTAGTAGTTTTCATCTAAAGTATAACTTCACTACATTTAAAGTTACTTCTTGTACCTCTACTTTAAAAAGGTGTGTGTATATATATATACGTGTATATATATATATATGTGTGTGTGTGTGTGTGTGTGTGTATGTATATGTGTATGTATAAGTGTATATATATGTGTGTATATGTATATATATATACGTATATGTGTATACACACACACCTTTTTACTAATGTGTAACAGTAATGTGTACTCGGAGTACATTTTACACAAGTAATCTTATTTCTACTTGAGTAAAAAAATGTTAAACTTTTCTTTTAATTGAGCAAAATTATTTACACAATATTGTAGTACTTTTTCCTTCCTTTTTAATAATAATAATGGTAATGATAGTAATAATATATAAATATATATAACTAATTATATAATATTATTATTGTTATATACTATATAATTAGTTATATATATTTATATATAATTATTATAATAATCATAATCATAATAATAAATAGTAATGACAAAAAGATGAATAGAATAAAAGTTACTTGTTAACTAATCTGATGGAAGAAGTATTATCAGCTAAATATGTTTAAAGTGTAAAGTACAGTAAAATGTGTTTTAATATCTGCTTTAATATCTGCAGTATGTTACATTTATTTATAGTCTATTGGCTGGTTATTCAAGTAAAGTACAAGTACATCAACACTGTACTTAGTACAATACTTTAGTGACATTCCACCACTCATGAGATGTAGTACTGACTGGTGACCACTAGGGGGCACTAGACCACAGGCGTGAGTGTGAGTGTGTGATAAAAAATACAAACTACAGTGAGCAGATTACTGATGATGCTATATATATATATCTATATATATAAATATATAATATATCTATATATATAAATATATAATATATCTATATATCTATATAGATATATATATATATATAGATATATCTATATATATATATCTATATATACAAATATATAGATATATCTATATAGATATATCTATAGATATATTATGGGATGTTGAAAAGCCTTTCCTGTATGTCCGGTTTGAAAACTCCCAAGTTGCTGTTGCCACGGCAACGCAACCTTCAACGTCTGTTGCCCAGCAACAGCAGCCTGTTATAAAATGTCAGGAGCGTGAAGAAGATGAAGATGAAGATTTGTTTTATTGACAGCAGCATCCTCCATGCAAAATAACAAGGGAACACAACCTCCCACAATGCATCAGTGCACCAGAGGTGTAGAAAAGTGACATCGTGTTTTCATGTTGATCCTCCGTATAAATCTTCTTTATCTCTTATAAATATATACATAAATACAATCTCTCTCTCTCGTATTGTAAAACAGCGCGACACAAAGAGGTAGACCACTAGAGATAGATATAAAAATAGAGATATGTCATTAAATATTCATAGAATTAAAAAACAGCAACATCACGACATTCTGACGTCACACATTCACGTTCTTCACGTCCTCATGCAGGAAACGAAAGTCCAAAAAGTGTATGTTTTTTACAAAGCTCCTTTAAGAGAGAGTCCACCACCAGGAGCGTCTCGTGCACCATGGGGGTCCGGAGGCGGACCGGCTGGTCCTGGATCAGACCGGAACACTCAGACCTGAACTCTTTAAATCCACCATCACCCTCCTGCGAGCGGGACTGTCATCTCGCGCATGCGCCGTGAGAGTGGGCCAGGTCACCTGTCTAAACACCTGCTCAGTGTGACGTCACATGGAAACGTCTCTCTCTGACGCGTCACCGGTCGACGGTTCAAAATCCGGAAGCGTGAACTTCGCTCCTGCAGCAGCCAAATCGGAACAACGGGAGCGCGCGCTCAGACGCCGGGCGCGTTCAGGGCCAGGGAGTAGGCGGCCATCATCTGCGCCCGCAGCTGCTGCTTGACGTGCACGCGCCCGTGCCTCTTCCTCTCGTCGCTGCGTGCGAAGCGCTTGCCGCACACGTCGCAGGAGAAGGGCTTCTCCCCGGTGTGCGTGCGCGTGTGCGTGGTCAGGTGGTCGCTGCGGCTGAAGCTGCGCGCGCAGATGGTGCACTGGAAGGGCTTCTGTCCCGTGTGGATGCGCACGTGCCTGTTCAGCTCGTCCGAGCGCGAGAAGCGGCGCTCGCACCCCTGCACGGAGCAAGGGTAGGGTTTCTCTTTCAGTCCGTTCTTCTTGGCGGGAGCTCTCCTGCCGCCGCGCGACAGCTTGGGGGCGCACGCGGCGTGCGCGCCGCCGATGTTTACTATCGGGAACGCGCCCTGCAGGAGGGAGGAGAGGAGATGAACGTCCAGGGTGGAGGGGAGAGGGGGGGGGGAGAAACTCTGCTCGAGCTCCGTCTTGACCACCGGTCTGCCGATGACGTAGCTACCGGAATCTCCCCCGGTAACCGGCACCATCAGGCTCTTCAACCAGTCCTCCAGACCCAGCGGCTCCTGCTTCACCTCGCAGCCGGGCTTCAGGTCGCCCTGGCCGGCCTCAGAGCTCAGCAGGGAGTCGAGGAAAGCGGACACGTCCACCTGTTGCTGCTCCAGAGCGGAGAGCGGGAGGAGAGAGTCAGCGGTGCACGGGTACGAAGCATCATTCCCGGGCATCGAAGAGTGTGCGCACCCGCTGCTGCAGCTGGAGCTCACGAACTCGCTTTTAACAACCACCGGGTGTGAAACCACCACCGTGGGAGGAAGAGGAAGAGGAGGGGGGGTGCTCGACTCTGAGCTGAGATCCGCAGGTGGAGCGCAGAGCGCGGGAGAAGAGGAGGATGTGTCCTCGTGCTCCATCTCGGTGCAGATCCCCACGATCTCTGTGATCATGTTGAGGATCGCGTCCGCGGTGCTGCTCAGCTCCGCTGCTGCCGCCGGTGCTGCCTTCACCACCGGCTCCGGCTCTGAGAAGAAGCTGCCGGTGTAGCCGAGAGATGGAGAGAGTGTGTCCGACGAGCAGTCACTGAAGTCGGAGAAGAAATCAGAGTCCGAGGCGTCGGTTCCCGGAGAGAAAACTGAAGGAGAGAAGAAGAAGGTGTTATTAATGTTGCATAATCACTGTGATCGATATGCAAAACAGCTGATCAATAACCACCTGTTACTGTTTGCAGGTGTGAAGGTATAACCTCACACCTGCAGCTCATTATGCACAAAAACATGCACATCATGAATAAATATCAAATATCGATTTGTGATTGATTACACGCACACACCTTGGCAGAAAGGTGACCCCACGTCGGACTCAGCTCCGTCGCTGATGGGGCTCGAGCCCACGCTGTCCACCCACGCGCTGCACGCGTCCTCAAACTCCGACATGAAGCAGCTGTCCTCGCGCTCCAGAAGCATGACGGTTTATAAAATGATGAGCTGGATGAACTCGATTGATCAGTCGAATGTCGGGGACTCCCGTTATTAATCCCGTTATCTCCCGGTGTGCTCCGGTTAGTCCCGTTAGTGCAGAGAGATGCTTGGTGCTTCCTCGCGCTCTCCGGTTTTTATACCCTCCGTCTCCTAGGTAACTCCCGTTAACGGTCTCATTGGTCGGTGCCGTGCGCGAGGGATTCCCTCCCGCAGCGCCGCTTCGTAGCTGCCCAAACATGGGCCACTTCCGGTGGTGACGACGGGTATCCCCGCACCATAAAAGGACAGGCGGGAGAGCACACGTAACGAGATTTCTTTTTTTTGGGTTTCCCTTCACTGCGGCAGCGGAGCGACACGAGAGAGATTATGCAACCGGAGGGTTCACGCGGGGCTGCAGCAGAGGAGGATGAGGAGGATGATGAAGAGGCTTTGTTGTTATTGAGGAAGAAATAATAAAGAAAGAGGATCCCAGTTTCATCATCTGAAGGTTGTTTATGCATTAGTGTCTCTCCTCACCTGTTGGAGTTCAGGTTGGTGATGCTTTGGTTTCACATCCATACCATAATAACCATCACAACCATCATAACCATCATAACCATAACAATCATAATAACAGACAGCATGGTTTTACATGAGTGTCAGAGAACTAAGGTGGCCTTCAGGTGACGTAGGACATGAAAGTGGACGAAGTTGTCGTGACTTCACTTGTTGATTTGTGGACGTTTTGAAGGTTTGAGTTCTGTGTTTTGGCCGTCGCCATCTTGGTTTATTTTGCAGCCAGTGAACAGGAAGTGACCATATTTGGACTGGTAGAAACCTGTCAATCAGCATGTAGCCCCACCCCTAAAGCATCCCCTGCTTTATGGTCTGTTTGACTCTAAATGGACCATAATGTACTAAATGAACATCATGCTGTATTGAAGACTTGAAACTAGAGATTGAGACCATAAACTCATGTTTACAATGTTTACTGAGGTAATAAATCAAGAGAGAAGTAGAGTCATTTTCTCATAGACTTCTATACAACCAGTGGAGTCGCCCCCCCCCCCCCCCCCCTTGGTAACATGGCGAGGGCGGAAAAAAAAAAATGATGACGGCCAGAAAACCAAGATGGTGACGGCCAAGAAAAGAACCAAGATGGCGATGGCCGAAAATCCAGTTGGCGATGGCCAAAAACCAAGACTCTAACTCTGGGCTTTACAACGTCGGTAACAAACCAGTGGGCGACGTCACGAACGTGTTCAGGTGATTAAACTTCAATGAAAGCGCTGGCCCTTTAAATCACATAAAAATTAGCATTTTATTTTGGCACAGTGAGAGAGGACGAAGAAGAAACCGTCAGAAAGGAAATCAACAACAAATCAAATCTATTTGATGATGAGCAGAAACCTGTTTTTAACATCTCAGTCGTCATCACAGATTATTTATAACCAGAGGACCTTCTGATGAGAGACAGACGGGTCCGTCTCTGTCTCACTGACCGTCTGTCCTCGTCTGGAGACCGCCACCTATCACGTGACACACATGTGACACTCATGCTGTCGCCATGGAGACGGGAGCAGATTCAGGGCGTTATGTAAAAGATGAAGTCAGGAAATAGAAGCTCAGCAGCAAGCTCGTCACTCGATTAAACAAATAAATAAGTAAAATAAATAAATGAATAAAAATAATTTAGTAAATTAAAATGAATAAATACAATAATTCAGTAAAATAAATACGATAATTTAATAAAATAAAAAAATGTAGTAAAATAAAATGATAGCGACAACATCACATAAAGAATAGTAAATAATATATATATATATATATATATATATATATATATATATATATATATATCCTGGTATTTGTGACACACTCTGACATTAAAGTGAAGCTTTAATCTGAAGTCACTTCCAGAGCAGCATCTAGTGGCCAAGAGAGGAACTGCAGCTTCAAGCTTCCACCGCTCTACGACTGTTTATAACGTCCTCGTGAAGTCTCCAACGTTTGTGTTTGCACCCAACAAATAACCATGTGACCAATCGGACAACGACGAAGACGAAGATGAAGAAGAAAAGGATGAAGAGACCCTCACTCTCTCTCTCTCTCTCTCATGAACAGACTGTTAGAAAAGGAGGATGGAAGGATGTGCGGGGGCGAGGGAGGAGAGACTGTTGCCATGGCGCTGTGCCACCTCCTGGTACAAAGAACACACACACACACAAGATATCCTCTATTTTCTATTCAACACATTCTTCTTTCCTGTTAAAATCCTGGCGCCTACATTACCCACAATGCAGCTCTCCCCCTGCAGAGGGCAGTGAAGTGAACAAAACAAGCTGATGTTAAAATGCAATGATGGAAAGTAACGAAGTACATTTACTCAAGTGTTGTACTTCAGAGCAGTTATGAGGTGGTACTTGTACTTTATACTTCTTCCTTTTTCTTCTTCTTCTCCTTCAGTTAAACTACAGACTGATTTTAAACGTAAGGACGTTCTAAACATGCTGACGTCGTCTCTCTCTCCTCTGACCTGCAGCCTGATAACACCAAGGTCTGTGGACCAGGATAAACACACACACACACACACACACACACACATGACCTCTGACCTCTCCAAGGTTTCTCGATGGTGAGATAAAGATTAAAACCAGGACTCCTCAGTCTCCCTCTTCATTCTCCTCCATTTCATCATCACAGCCATGTTCGCTCGTCTCCTCTCCTTTCTTCCTCCCATTATCTCCCCTCTCTCCCTCCCTCCCTCCTTCCTCCTCCTCATCTTCTTCATCGTTGCCGTGGTGGTCTTCTTCCTGAACCGAACTGGACCTCCGTCCTCTGGACCTCCGTCCCGGGGCTCCGTCCCGTGCCTGCCGAGGCTCCCCGTCCTGGGCAGCCTCCCCTGGTTGGGGGGAGGCCTCCCCCCTCACCTCCTCTTCACCCAGCTGGGCCGCAGGTAAGACCACCGAGTCCTGAACCTGAACCAGAACCAGAACCAGAACCCTCCTCCAGGGTTTGTGGTCCTGGAAGCTTCCTGCAGACGACGACCATGTTTTTAGTAGAACATGTTCAGTGTTTAACGTTTAATAACGTTTGGAAAGACTCATTAAACTATTAACTAGTAAGACTAGTTAATATTGTTCAATAATAATTGGAAGAAGTTATTGATGTTAACTAGTTAATATTCTTTATTGTTGAGTGGAAGAAATCATTAGTTTACTAGTTTATATTGTTAAGAAGAAGGACTCTAAAGGAAGGACTTTAGAAGCACTCGTTAATGTCTGGAAAGACTAGTTAATGTTTAGAAGAACTCGTTAATCTTTGGAAGGACTCGTTAATGTTTAGAAGGATTCGTTAATCTTTGGAAGGACTCGTTAATCTTTGAAAGGACTCGTTAATCTTTAAAAGGACTCGTTAATCTTTGAAAGGACTCGTTAATCTTTGAAAGGACTCGTTAATGTTTAGAAGGATTCGTTAATCTTTGGAAGGATTCGTTAATCTTTGAAAGGACTCGTTAATCTTTAAAATGACTCGTTAATGTTTAAAAGGACTCGTTAATCTTTGAAAGGACTCGTTAATCTTTGGAAGGACTCGTTAATATTTAGAAGGACTTGTTAATCTTTGGAAGGACTCGTTAATGTTTAGAAGGATTTGTTAATCTTTGGAAGGACTCGTTAATGTTTAGAAGGATTCATTAATCTTTGGAAGGACTCGTTAATATTTAAAAGGACTCGTTAATCTTTGAAAAGACTCGTTAATATTTGCAAGGACTCGTTAATGTTTAAAAGGACTCGTTAATCTTTGGGAAGGACTCATTAATGTTTAAAATGACTCGTTAATCTTTGAAAGGACTCGTTAATCTTTGGAAGGACTCGTTAATCTTTTGTTCCAGGTATGGGTCTCTGTTCGCTCTCTACCTGGGTCCTCACTACACTTTGGTGATAAACAACCATCAACACGCCAGAGAGGTTCTACAGCAGAGAGGGAGAGACTTTGCTGGACGTCCGAGCATGGTGAGACATGCAGAGAGAGCGAGAGAGTAAAGTTCTACTACATGATACTATTTAAAAACATGTCATCATTTATCTTCATCTCTATCTCTTCCTCTTCCGTCCATCCTTTCTTCTGCAGGTGACCACCGACCTGTTGACCCGAGGAGGTAAAGACATCGCGTTTTCAGACTACACTCCTCTCTGGAAGTTACACCGCCGCCTCGTCCACAACTCCTTTACTCTGTTTGGAGAAGGAAGCAGCCGACTGCAGGACATCGGTACTCCACCCCGTTAATGTTTGGAAGGACTCGTTAATGTTTGAAAGACTGGTTAATGTTTGGAAGGACTCGTTAAAGTTTGAAAGACTCGTTAATGTTTGGAAGGACTCGTTAATGTTTGAAAGACTGGTTAATGTTTGGAAGGACTCGCTAATGTCTGGAAGAACTCGTTAATGTCTGGAAGAACTCGTTAATATTTGGAAAGACTCGTTAATATTTGAAAGGACTCGTTAATATTTGAAAGGACTCGTTATTATTTGGAAAGACTCGTTAATATTTGAAAGGACTCGTTATTATTTGGAAAGACTCGTTAATATTTGAAAGGACTCGTTATTATTTGGAAAGACTCGTTAATGTTTGGAAGGACTCGTTAATGTTTGGAAAGACTCGTTAATATTTGAAAGGACTCGTTATTATTTGGAAAGACTCGTTAATGTTTGGAAAGACTCGTTAATGTTTGGAAGGACTCGTTAATGTTTGGAAGGACTCGTTAATGTATGCATTGGTGTATAAAAATGAACATAGCAAGAGAAAATAAAAACAGTGGTATGGACCAGAAAAAGGTACAATTTCAATATGAAAGAAATACTTAAACAACATGAACTATGTATCTGTTTTAAATGAAGCAGCCGTCCATTATTTGATCATATTTAATACAAATGTCTCTCTAGTTCTGTCCTCGGTGGACAGTCTGTGTGCCGAGCTGTTGTCCGGCGGGCGGCGCGGCTTCGACCCGTCTGCCGCGGTGACACGGGCTGTCACCAACGTCGTGTGCACGCTGGTGTTCAGCGCCACCTATCGCCACGGTGACGCCGAGCTGCAGGAAGTGATGCGATACAATGACGGCATCGTGCAGACGATTGCCCGAGGAGGACTGGTGGACATTTACCCCTGGATGAAGGTGCGTTCACCTGAACCCAACGGCAACCACAACGTCTTAGATTCCTAAATGTTCCCGTTTCCTCCAGATTCTGCATTCATGTGCTGATTAAAGAGATTAATATGAACATTAATCTAAAATGTTCAGGATTTTATACAATGTCTTCTCTCTTCAATGTCTTCACTCTTCAATGTCCTCACTTTCTAAAATGTCCTCACTCTCGATGTCTATAACTCATTTGGTCCTAATAAGGACAGAAGTACACACATACAGTCTGTCCTTGTCCTTCAGGTCTTTCCCAACAAGTGTCTCAGTAAACTGAAGGACTGTATCATCGTCAGAGACCGACTGCTGTCACGAAAACTGGAGGAGCACAAGGTAACGTCCCTCGTCCTTCGTCCCTCCAGACCGAGCAGCTCTACTCTATCAATAAATGTAGATGTGTGTTTACCAGTAAGAAACTCCGCCCCTCTTCTGTGGTCTGAATCCAGGCCTCGCTGAGTGACGGTGACCCCCGTGACCTTCTGGATGCCTTGCTCAAGGGTAAGACAGACGGCGGTGTGAAGTCCTCGGGGTCTGAGGACGAGACGATCACAGACGACCACGTCCTCATGACGGCAGCCGAGGCGTTCGGAGCCGGAGTGGAGACCACGTCCACCACGCTGCTGTGGATCCTGGTCTACCTGCTGCACCACCCAGAGGTACTACTGCTAATTCTACTACTGCTAATTCTACTACTGCTAATACTACTACTACTACTACTACTACTACTACTACTACAACTGTTATACACTGAGCATGATGACACTACTACTAGTAGTGGTAGTATTGTGGTATTAGTATCTTTACTATCTTTACTGTAACACAGTATTTGTACTGTGTGATATTAGTAATTTTTACTGTAACAGAGTTTTACTGTAACAGAGTATTTGTAAAGTGTGATATTAGTATATTTACTGTAGCAGAGTATTTCACAGTGTTGTTGTACTTTTACTTCATTAAAGGATCTGAATACTTCCTCCATCACTGTCGATGCCCGTCCGTGTTGTTGTTGATAATAAACAATCATCGTTGCTGTTATGCCCCGCCCCCTCCAGGTGCAGGAGCGTGTGCAGAAGGAGCTGGACGAGCAGGTGGGCAGCGAGCGGGCGGTGTGCACATCGGACCGCGGCCGGCTGCCGTACCTGGACTGCGTCATCAACGAGGGCATGAGGATCCGCCCGGTGAGCCCGGTCCTGATCCCCCACACCGCCATGACCGACAGCAGGTACTTCAGATACTTCAGGGTATTTTATTGGGGATAAGAAGTGAATATCTGGGTTTTGGACTATTTGTCATTTTATACACAAAACAAAGAGTTGTGACATTAAATGTCTGTCGTAGTATTGGAGGTCACTCTGTCCGTCGTGGGACTCGTGTTTTGGTCAACATGTGGTCGATCCACCACGACCCTCAACACTGGGACAGACCGGACCTGTTCAACCCAGGTAAACCACCACCAAAACCACCTCAGATATCTAACTCCAATAAACTGCACCTGAACACACCACAAAGCACCGGTTTTCCCGCCTTCTCCAGATCGTTTCCTTGACGACCAGGGCCAGAGGTTCTCCCCTTCCTGCTTCCTGCCGTTCGGGGCGGGACCTCGGGTCTGCGTCGGCGAATCGCTGGCCAGGCTGGAGCTCTTCCTCTTCCTGTCCTCTCTGCTCCAGCGCATGAGCTTCACGCAGCCGGACAGGGCCCCCCCGCCCAACCTGCAGGGGCGGCTGGGCGTGGTCCTGCAGCCGTTACCTTATAAGGTCGTCGTTACTCCGAGGGCGGGGTGGGAGGGCGGGGCCAAGTGAAGAAAGGGGGAGGGGCAGATAGTTGTGAAAACCTAAAACTTTTATTGGCTCAAATTAAAAAAATAACATTAAAATCCAAAATTCCGACTTTAAAATGATTTAAAAATATTTACACTGGTACTAAAATAATGTTACAAGTATAGAGAGCTGCAGGTATTATCCTAAAATCAGGAAATTTCAGGAATTCCTTAAAGTAAAGGTAAAATACGTAGCTAAATTTGTCATGGAGTTAGCTTAATTTGTTCCATAAAATATTTTCCATTTAGAGTAAGAAGATGGATGATGTAAAGAGCTAATTAGCGTCGCTAACGTCTGCGGCTAACATGACTCATTGTAAATCTCTAAAAACAGTAAAGAAGCTAACGCTAGGCTAGCTTGTGGCTGCGCTGTTTCAACTTCACCCTTTTGTAGCTTCATGCTAACACTATGCTAACTAATTCTAAGACACGCAGTGGAATATAATCAAACCGAGTTTAAACTGAGCTTTAAACGTCATTTAAAACAAGAAGTAAATATTTAGTGTGACTTCACGTGATATTTTTTATAACCCAAATGTTTTTTAATCAATAAATATCGATTGATCTCCAGTGTGGTGACAGTGTTTTCATTATCAGTGGATGAACGGAGACAGTCAGGTGGTAGGTAGATTTGACAGTTTTTATTCAGTATATCGTCACACACTTTTAGAACAGGCTGGTTTAGTTAGGTCACACACACATCCACACACATCCACACACACACTATTAATTTAGTATTACTAATAATTAGCGTCGTTATTATCGTAACATTAAGGGATTTTAAAGTCTCTTCTCGGCTTTCTTCCGCTCCTCCTGACAGAAACCTCATGCAAACAGGAAGGACAGCAGAGAAGAGATGACGAGATAAAAACGCTCTTTAGACTAAAAATAGAAGGAGCACACGGACATTTCTAGTAAATTAAAAAGTTTTGTCAAACACCACGGGTGAAGCTGCTTCCAATCTCCTCATGGGACAAGTGAAAGAGCCCAAAACGGTTAAATGAGAACAGTTAATGAGGCCAAGATCCAAGAGTTGTCTAAAACCTTGACTGGGTTCACATGTCAATCCGGTCCTTTTCTCTGATCTCAAGGTTTAAGGTGGAGAACTTTGTCTCGTGTTGGGTTTCAGAGTTAAAAATGGGCATTTTACCCTCAAAGGAACCAGCTCCGCCCCTTACCTACATTTATGGGTCGGTTGGACCTAGTCTGTTGTTCCAGTCTGGGTCGGTTGGACCTGGTCTTCTGTTCCAGTCTGGGTCGGTTGTACTGAATCTGTTTCAGTCTGGGTCGGTTGGACCTAGTCTGTTGTTCCAGTCTGGGTCGGTTGGTAGTAGTATTCTAGTTCGGGTCGGTTGGACCTAGTCCGTTGTTCCACTCTGGGTCGGTTGGTAGTAGTATTCGAGTTTGGGTCGGTTGGACCTAGTCTGTTGTTCCATTCTGGGTCGGTTGGTAGTAGTATTCTAGTCTGGGTAGGTTGGACCTGGTCATCTGATCCAGTCTAGGTCGGTTGGACCAGGTCTGTACCAGTCTGGGTAAGTTAGACTAGGTCTGTTCAAGTCTAAAGCGATTGGACAGGGGCTATTCAAATCTAGGTTGTTTGGACTTGTTTTGGGTTTAAGCTAGATGTCCCAAGCTTTAGTAGAGGTTGATCAACTTCTTAGTTAAAACCAAATCTGACCTGTGAATGTGAACCCAGTCAGTGTGAAACTCTTCTAGTGGGGAGGACTCATTTTTGAAGGTTTTCGTCCACCGACGCGATTTTAAAAAACAGCCCAACAGAAAAAGAGATAAAGACGGCGTTTCCAAACATTAGGCCGGCCCTGACATCAGCCTCGTGTACGAGGGGGGGATAGGCCATCATCAGTTGGCTGAAGACTGAAGCTGAGGCTGATCTCAGAGCTGCAGAGCCTCTTTGGGAACCTGAGCTACGACGGGGACAGATTTGAGACAACAGTCACTCTGGTTGAAAGTCCACACCAGCTCCATCTAACGCTAAGTAGTAACAGTTGTCAAGTAGAAATGGCACTCAGTAACCATGGAGATATATAACCTTATTAGTTCAGGTAAACAAAAACAAAAAGAAAGAACACCATCAACCACAACATCAACGGCTCAGTATCACCCTTGAGCGTTCTCGAGGAAGTCCTTCAGAGTCTCTACGAACTCCTTTCGATCGGAGACGAATATCACAAGACGACACTCGGAGAATCTGCTTGAGGTCCACATCCGCTCAAAGGCAGATTCCTACATCTGTGAATTTAGCCACAAAAGGTTTTTGTTTTAAAAAACAAGAGACTGGATCATTTACCATCCATCCACGTATGAATCCAATCTTGTGCGCGTTGGGTTTTTTCCAAACCGACGACGGAGACGTCAGGATTTAAACATCCAGCTGCCGCCATTGTAGACGGTAACGGCAAGATTTGTCCCTCATGGGCATCCGTATGGGTAGCTCAGTCCATAATGGGCTTGTAAAGTCTTCATCGTAGAGAAGCTCGGACCAGGTTATTGAAGACCGAGACCTTCGTCTCACCTGAAGCTACATCGGGAACACTTCCCTCTTTACTCTCTAAAACAAACATTCTGACGAGTTCCAGTTCAATCTGGTGTCGGTCGGACGATAACTGTCTGGTGTCTTCTTTCCAAGTCGCTCTAACGTCTAGTTCAGGAACAACACGTTATTTGTGAAACTTTCTAACGCGGCTTACGGAAAGAAAAACAAAACAAAGTGCACTTTGTGGCAGCAGGTTTAAGAAAATGTGACAGAAAAAGCTCCAACTAACGTCGATGCAATGTTAATTTTGGCAGCTTTTTAATGTTCATCATTACTTTTAGTCCAAAAATATTGTCAGCTATTTTTTTAATCTTTGTCTTAGTCTTGTGTTGTTGTAAATTGTTTGATTGCATGTTTACTTTTATTGGGAAAAGCATGAAAGCGCAAATGATTTTCCTGTGAAGAGACAGGAAGTAGCATGATACGTGCTTCTTCACGACAACAATGATGATGATAAGAAAAAACATACATGTCGGGTGCAAGATTGCGCTCTATTTACTGTAACAGTTGTTATACTGCAGTTTCAGACAGTAAAAGTGTTCCGTACAAAACCAGACGTGTCTTGGTCGTCATCAGAAGCTCCACTTCACAACATATGTCAAATGTCCTTTTTCATCAGATTATACTTTATATTCAATCTAGTCGAGCCAAAACAAGTCATTTTGTCATTTTAGTCAAAACAAAAGATTTTATCTTCTCGTTATCTGATGAAAAACACAGTTCGAATATTTAAGAATTCAGCTTTGCAGGCAAAATAATTACGATCAATTATTAGATCAAAAGTCTTAGTTGACAAAATGAACATTGCTTCTATTTTCATCCCGCTACTAGATTCTGGAAACTAGATTCTGGAGAAGCGTTTTGATGGAATTAATTTTAAAAAACTTTTCATATAAAAGTACAACAGAATGTCTGTGAATGTTAAACTGTTTGTTTTGTTGTTTCAGCCTTTACAATCATTACACTGCTGCTGTTGGGCTAAAAATGTCACATCTGCAAGTTGTTGACAAAGAAAACTTCTAATTTGTCCAGAAGGGTTTTTAGAAAGATCTTCATCCACCAAAGGTGCGTAAAAAAAGCCAGTGTGTTATATTTTGAATTAAAACAACAGTTGTTTTACTCAACAATGACAAAACATTGCTTTTCTATCAACGCTTCTGATTAATAATATTGCTCTTCACTCATCAGACTCTAAGGTGATTGGACAAAAACACTATAATTGACTAAATATACTCTACCTTTACGTTTGTCTAAGAATAAATCCTAAATGCATTTGAAGGCCCTAAAAAAGTTCGACTTGTTTGGTGAATAGTTGTAGGACGATGTGAACTTAATCCATTCAGAATTGAGGGTTCTGAACGATGTGTCTATGAACGCAGAGATGCACGAAGCAAAGAAAGGGAATATTTCAGAGTTTAGACTGAGCGTCGTGTCTGACCTCAAAATTCAGAGAAAGAGACAAAGACGGGCAACGATGACGTGTTCCCGTCTGTTGTTTGGTGCTTTGTTATCGCTCTAAAAGTGCCCATTGTTTATTCTTATTTATGCAAAAAGCTTTTTCTCTTCCCCGAAAAGGCTGACGCACAGAAAACCAAACCCTGAAACCTTCCGCGTAGGATCGAGTCCCTTCTTATAAAGCTACCCACCGAACGTCTTCATCAGATAGTCCCCTCTAACGAGTGAATCAGTCTTGTCCCTTCTGTCAGTCAGACTGAATCATCCTCCCACATCAAGTCACTCTTTGTTCCCGGCACGGTTCCAAAAGCCTCCGTCATCACCCTCAAGACGAGCTAAATGTTCAACTATTTAAAGGTAAGGTCTGTTACTTGGCGGTGGCAGACAGACGCCAGAAAGAAAAACATCATTTCTGTCAAAGCACCCGATGGTGACGGACGTGACGGGAAAGACTCCCATGATGACGTCATTGGACAACTCAACACTGTTTTATAATTGGACAAACAGGATTACATCCAATAAATTAGCCTTTAATTCCCTTTAACAATGTTTTTTTAGTTGAAGCATCAATATTTTCTCTTTCTGGTACTTTATAAAGTGCAAAGTTGGATTTCTGGAGTTTCCCGGTTACAACTACGACTTTGACGTAGATGTGAGCTCCAACTCCCACGTGACCTGAACGCCACATTAGCTTAGTGGATATCTAGCTGCGTCTGTATCTTGTCTTATCGGAAGTGAGGAGTGAAAATTTTCTGATTGGGAGCTAATCACGTCCACTAAGAAAAGGGCAGCTTGTTAGCTAGCTAGCCATAGCCACCACAAAGTAGCCAGTGCAAGCTAGCATTTTAATGTTATCATTCAAATCTATCCCGTGGCTAAACTATAGCTTATAAGTCCTGGTTTAAAGTTATTTAACATACCTTGATTTCACAAATGATTTAGTGATAGATAACGGGTCAAGAAAAGTAGCAATGTGCTTGCGAAAGACGTCTAGCTGGTAAATATGGATGTAAACAATGCAGGTTGAAAGAAGAACTCAAAATATTTGTATTATTCAAAGTTAGGGGACAGATTTAAACAATAATGGTCAAAATTGAAGCTGAGTAGGGGCCCCTGGTTTTACTTTCTAGTATGGGTCAACCTCCCGAAACACTGGATCCCACATTTCCCACAATGCACCTCAAATAAGAGCTTTCCTGTCTGGCAAACAACTCTCCAAAGTTACAAAATAGCGGCTTGCTGTCCTAACTTTTTTTTTGGACATTTCCCAAATGGTTGACAGCCGTTCTGTAGTGCAGTATTTACCTCTCCACGCAGATACTTCCCAACCACATCTGAGTACCTCACAGTTGTAACGAGCTAACGCTTCCATGTTGAATCTCTTCCTAACGTCCGACACTTCACGCCGTGTCTGACAAACGGATGTTGAAGATGCTACATTCAGTAACGTGACTCCACTATCGCAATCTTCTCTGTTCAAAACCTCCCTGGGTTACAGAAAAAAAAAACTCGGATCGACCCCCTATCATTAACTTCCTGTTCATCCCGTGTCTGGGATGACGAGTGGTTTGATTCCGCCCCCGGGCTTCCGCCAATCACACAGTCTCCATGACGATGACAACTTTGCCGCCATCCTCGGGCGTTGGTGTCGTGGTGGAGGTGGAGTTACACGGTCTGAGTCCTTCCCCCGTGGTGGTCTGACCTCTGGCGGGGCAGTCCACGCTGTCATGGAGATCAGTGTCTCCACCTCCTTTGTTATCCCCACCTCCTCCTCTCTTGCCATCCTCCTTCCTTTCCTCCTCTTCCTCCTCCTCCTCCTCCTCCTCCTCCACCCGACACCGGCACACCTCGATGCCAGAGTCGCCGGTAAGGCGCCGGTGTCTATACTGGCTCTCGTCAGCTCCCATGTCCTCATCTTCGTCGTCATTGCCCTCCTCCGGTTCCTCCTCCCCGTCCTCCCAGCTGGGAGGTCCTGGTTCAAAGACGTCCACGCAAGGGGAGAAGAGAGTCTGTTTCGGAGGGGACTGGGTGGCTCGAGGCGAGGGGGAGAGGGAGGAAGCGTGGCCGGAGGAAGATCCACCTTTGTTGGGCTGGTGCAGAGCAGTGAGGGGGTCAAGGAGTAACGCTGGGGCTGGAAGGGAAGAGGGTGAGGATGCAAGGGGAGACTGAGAAGATTCAAACTCTATGGTTATGGATGGGCAGGAGGAGAAGGAAGAAGAGGATGCGGGTGTCATGAAAGTGAGCGCTGGGGTAGGAGCAGACAGTGGACCTGATCTACAACCAACGCTAGAGCACGATGCAGATCCAGAACCAGAACTTAAACCAGCCTGGACATTTGATGCTGATGGACTGATAAGATCTGAGTCTGACCATTGAAACAGGACCACAGAAGGACCTGAACCAGCTGGTACTGCAGCTGGATCTAGACAAGATACAATAACAGCAACAGACTCTGGGTGGTAGAGTAAGCCTGATATTGGGCTTGGAGGAACCAGTGCTACATCTGACCCAGGTGACAGTTCTGGAAACTGGCCATGGGCTAATGTAGGTGCATTTGTAGCAAGGGTAAGGTCTGAATGTGCAGGTTTTAGAATGTGGTTTGTTTCACAGTCGGATACTATGGTGATTTTAGGTTGTAGGTTTGGCACTAGGGTAAGGTTGGACAGTACTGGGTCTGGAACTTGGGTAAGATTTATAATTATTGGGTCCATAACAGAGCTAGAATTTGTGGGTACTGGTTCTGGAGCTTGGGTAACATTTTTAGGTACTAGGACTGGAATTTGGGTAATGCTTGATGGTACTGGTTCTGAAACTTGGGTAAGTTTTGTAGGTACTAGGGCTGGAACTGGGGTACGATTTGAAGGTACTGGGGCTGGAACTTGGGTAAAGTTTGTAGGTACAAGGGCTGGAACTTTGGTAAGACTTGAAGGTACTGGTTCTGTAACTTGGATAAGGTTTGAAATTACTGGTTCTGGAACGTGGGTAAAGTTAGTAGGTACTGGGACTGGAGCTTGGGTAAGTTTTGAAGGTACTAGGGATGGAACTTGGGTAAGGTTTAAAGGTGCCGGAATTGGCACAAGACTAGGATTTGGGTCTGGGATTGAGCATGTTATCAAGGCCAAAGTCCTTCCAACATCTGGGGTTGGAACTGAGTTTGGACTACTTGGAACATTGGCTGTATCAAACGTTCTTGTTAGATCGAGGGTTTTGAGGGTTTGGGTGGCTGTAGGGTTGTCAGAAGTGCTAGCTGTTGGGGTGGAGGGTCCGGACATTAAGGTGATTTTTGGGGCAGGGGTAGTTTCGGGGCCCTCGGCTGGACCCTCAATGTTTATTGTTTGGATTGAGGGGAGTAATAAGTCAACAACACTTGGACTACGGACTGTAACTGGGCTACCGGTGCTGACTATTGGGGTACACGGTGTTAGGTTGAGCTGTTGCTTTATGGGAGATGTAGTTACAACGGGAAGAGCCACCTCTGAATCAGGAGACAGCAGCGGCTGCGGGGAGGCCGACCCGGTAACAACCGCAACAGTAACAGCCCGGTTGGGAACCAATGAGTCCGTGGCATCGGTTTCCTGTGCTTCGGCCTCGTCTTCATCCTCGATGTCAATGGCCACCGTGGCAACCAACCTCTCAGAGACCAATCGGGTCTCGTTTACCTCCAAACAGGTCGCCGCAGCCGTGATGGTCTCCATGGTGATGTCAAAAGCGAGGGCTGCGGCCTCGCTGGGCGTGGTGGCGTGGCTCGTGTCGGTCTCGTACGTGACGGGGGCCGATAGGGAGGAGCTACACGGAGAGGAGGGGCAGCAGGAGTCACAGGAACAACTGGAGCTACAGGAGAGACGCATTTAAGGAATTACAGTTGTTTTGGGTACAATAGTCGTAGCAGAAGTAGTAATAGTAGCAACACCAGTAGTCTCAGTATCACTGCCAGTAGTCAAATGAATAGTATTAGCAGAAGTAGAAGCAGTAGTAGTGGTAGTTGCAGTAGTGGTAGCCTCAGTAGTGCCAGTACCTCATTTTTTTGTCTTACTAGTAGTATCTGTGCAGTTAACAGTACTGTCACTGGTAGTACTATCAATGGTGTTACTTTAAATTGGAACAAAAGGGGTTATCAGTGCTCACAACAGTAATACTTGTACCCAGAATTCCCAATAGTGTATTCCAAGCAGTGTTACCAGCATTCCCAGTCATGTCATCAGTAATTTCCTGAACTGCTGACGTTATGTCCAGAATATTCAGAGTACCACTGCTTCTTTCCCAGAGGTGCTACTAGTGGTGCTACTAGTAGCTTCAGTAGCATTGATACCAGTACTCCCAGTAGCGTCGGCGGCACTGTTACCTGTTGTCGGAGCTGAGGGAGGAGGGACCGTCGCTGAGCGGCCGGTGCAGCAGCGGGTCGTGATGTTGCGTGAGCAGGTGGGGATCGGCGGTGCGGGGGGGCTGCGGGTACCGCGGGGTGGTGAACACGGAGCTGTACGGTGGGGGAGGGGTGGAGGGTTGAGCCGCCACCTCCTCATAGGACGGCAGCTTCAGAGACGCCAGGAAACCTAACATGACAGCAGAGGGGAGCGAGGTTAGAGCAAAGGAGTTTGGATGATACTTTGAAACCTGCAATTGTTCTTTTTGGCCACTTGGGGGCAGTGGAAACAAGTGGAACACAACATTGACATAACGTTTAAATTGCTATTGTTAATACTTGATTCATTAGCCCTCTGAACCCCAAGACCCGCCGGCGGGAACGAAAAGCATGTTTTCTTTAAACCATCGCCAAAACTACACCATGTATTATAGCTAGAAGCTGTAAAACCCGTCATTATCGTCCGATTTTCATCTTTCCGGCGGTCTTTGAACACATCATGTGTGACAAATGATTCAGTCAGAAAAAGCAGCCAAAACGAAGCCTAAATTGGTGATACCTCATCAAAAGCATTTTAATTTGACATGTTTTCATTTAAAATCTTGCCACAAATAAACCGTTTACTTTAAACAGATTCTGTAAAAAACATTAAATTTGAAAGAGACAGAGAGACAGACAGACATTCAGTCAGACAGACAGGTCTTACTGAGGTCCAGCATGGAGGACGGGTATGAGTTGGCTCCATGATAAGCCAGCAGGCTGATCTCTCTCTGCCTCTGCTGCTGCTGAACCCTCAGTTTGGCTCGACGGTGTCGGTACGCACAGCAGCAGCTGAAGAGGATGAGGACAGTCCAGAGCAGCCAGAACCCTGAAAACACCGTCATATCAGTACAGAGACCAGACTATGTGGATAAATATACAAAACAATAAACAATAACATGCTGACGTATTTACACCTAGATGACGTTATTTTGAGTGTCGATGGAGCTGCTACATTGTTAGCATAGCCTAGCACTGATCAAACCATACTCCATTTAGAAAACAAGCATTTTAAAAGTTATTTGCTTGTCGTCTTGCGGAGAGAACTAACAAAACATGAATTCACACTTTTTACTAATCGGCATCATTATGTAGTTATTTCAGCATCATTTTTATCTGTTGTTTTGCAATAAAATCACAGCATAATGTTTGTTTTGGGTTCATACAGCTGTAGTAAACAAGCTAGAGCTCTTCTTGCAAACCACACATCGGCTGCTTTACTACACCAGTATGCATAAAAAAAAAAACACAGATGTTGCTGTGATTTAATCGCCTTAAACAGATAAAAACGATGCCGAAATAACAACATAATGATGCCGATTTAGTAAAAAGTCTAAATTCATGCTTCGTCCGGTCTGTCCTCAAAACGACAAACAAACAACTCTTAAAATGCTCGTTTTCTCAATGGAGTCTGGATCAATCCGTGCTAGGCTATATGCTAACGTTGTAGCTGGTAGTACAGGGCAACCAACTTACACCAGAGTTCGTAGTAGTAAGTGCAGCAGCCGGTCTCTCCGCAGCAGTGTCCCGTCTCACAGAGGTAGCCTCCGTTAGCATTGGCCCCAGGGCAGTACCGCGGTCTCCCCAGCAGGGGCAGGCTGCCACCGGAGTGGTACTCCATCGCGCCCCCGCTCTGATCCGCAAAAACTAGCCCCGCGCCACCGCTCTCCACTAGCGGCTAACTAGCTGTTAGCTAGCAAAACACCAACAAAAAAAAACCTCAGATCGAAGCGCAGCTACATTTTCCTTTTAGGTCATTTATTCTCCAAAAGAAATTTATATTTTCTGAAGAGTGTGAAGTGGAATTGCTGTGCTAGCTGTTAGCCGCTAACGGCAAGTAGCTTCAAAATGAAGCTAATCTAACAGGTGAAATACTTCTGATTTCACAATGAAGCAGCAGCTAAAGTGGCAGTTTCAATGTTACTGCAACCAAATACTACGACTACTGCAGCTGTAGTAGTACAGTGGGGTGGGGGCGGAGCCAGACAGGGTGACGGCCAATAGGAGGTCCTGAACTGGAGAGAGAGAGAGAAGACAATAGTTTATTGATAGACAGGACGTCACACAGGCCTGTTTGATATTCATCAGTGAAGCAGCTCAAACCACAAAACCACACAATGATGCCTCTTCATACACACACACACACACACACACACACTTGTTTGTATTGCTGTACTTCTGAGGACCGTCAGTCCCATAATGCATTGCCAGGCCCCTCACCTCAGAGAAGAGGGTCACATCCCTCCTTGTTTATTTTGTCAACTAGCAACTGTCTTTAAAACAACACAGGTAGTGTACAGAGTACCTGAGCAGGTAGTGAACAGAGTGCCTGAGCAAGTAGTGGACAGAGTACCTGAGCAGGTAGTGGACAGAGTACCTGAACAGGTAGTGAACAGAGTACCTGAACAGGTAGTGACCAGAGTACCTGAACAGGTAGTGAACAGAGTACCTGAGCAGGTAGTGGACAGAGTACCTGAGCAGGTAGTGGACAGAGTACCTGAGCAGGTAGTGAACAGAGTACCTGAGCAGGTAGTGGACAGAGTACCTGAACAGGTAGTGAACAGAGTACCTGAGCAGGTAGTGAACAGAGTACCTGAGCAGGTAGTGTACAGAGTACCTGAACAGGTAGTGAACAGAGTACCTGAGCAGGTAGTGAACAGAGTACCTGAGCAGGTAGTGGACAGAGTACCTGAACAGGTAGAGAACAGAGTACCTGAGCAGGTAGTGAAAAGAGTACCTGATTAAAAGAGCTTCTGCAGACACATTTAAATATAAACCAATAATACTTAAATATGCTGTTTTGTAAAACGGGCCTACTTGTTCCCAGTTTATTATTTTAAGCCCTGTATGATATGACTATAATATTACAATAATATTATATTACTATAACGTCTGTGTAGTCTAGTAACTCATTAGCTGAAGATACTGCAGTACTTTTTCATATTACTTTAAATAAAATACCTGTTTTTCATCACAATGTCACAATGACGGAAATAAAATGAAACTAATGAAATCAAATATACTTCAATAACTCATAAATATCACACTCAACGCTCTGAGTTTGGCCCTCGTAGTGAAAATATTACTTGTAAAAATATGTTATGACACCAGAACTATTTCTGACAGAATTATTAAATCAGATTTTAACAGTTTAACAACTTAAATTCTGCCCCATTCAATAAAAAACAACATAAAGCATCATCCTGACACTAATACAAGCATTACATTCACATTTTTAACACAATAAAAGCACAAAAGATTCATACGTGCAATAACTAAAAATAAGATATTAAATAAATAAGATTATTAAATACAGCTCATGCCAATCAAATCAATAAATATCACTGAGTGGATACAACAAAGATTAAATAATAATATTGTTTTCACAATATTAAAAAAATTAAAAACACTACTTAATGAAAAGTAGACGAGCTGATTTCAAAACAAATCAAATATTGTATAAAGATTCAATCTTTAATATCAAACTAAATGTATTCATAAATTAGAATTTAAATATATATTTATTCTCACAATATTTTTTTAAATCATTTATAAGACTAAAATAAAGGTCAGGGGCCCTTTAAGGCACGAGGCCACCAGATTAAAGAATAATTAAACATGATAATTAGAAATATTCATAAAAAATATATATTATCTGACTCAAAAATACAGAACAATCTGTAAAAAACACAAGAATTAAAAATGTAATTTACAGTAAAAATAGAAATGTGACCCCCCCCACACACACACACACACAATAAGTAATACATAAAGGCCACAAGTGTAACTATCACAACAACATCCACTCACTCTCAGTACTTAACATGTGTATTTATATATATGACTGTGTGTGTGTGTGTGTGTGTGTGTGTGTGAGTGTGTGTGTGTGTGTGTGTCTGTGTGTGTGGTATAGCAACCCCCCCCTACCTACCTAACACCCCCGTACCGCTCCGTCCTCCTCCGGTCAGTCTGCGGGCCTCTCCTCACCCTTCGTCGGTGTGTCGGTCGTTGAGTGTGTCGGTGTGTCTCCGCTCGGTACCGCCGGGGCCTCCTGTCTGTCTCTCTCTCTCCTGTCTCTCTCTCTCTCTCTCTCTCTCTCTGTCTCGCGCTCCCTCCTCGGTGCGACCCTCCGCGAGCCCCGCCGCCATCAGCGCCAGCGGCACGTCAAGCCCGCGCGCCGCGAGACGACGCGCTTCCGCCCCTTCGCCTTGTGTGGATTTCAGAATAAAAGCCGCTGAAAGATGCCAGTTGTTCATTTTCCTTCATGTATATATAGACCAGTCCCCATAAACATATCATATTACAGACTATAAATACACAGAGATATGACTTGATCCACTATCTGTTCTACACACTGAGCTGTATTACTCTTTGTTCATATACAAAATACAATAACATGCACAGTAGTTTTACAAGGTGTAGTACTAGTACTTTAACTGTAACTTAATGTTTTAACTGTGTGGTATTAGTACTTTTACTTCAAAAGAGTACTTTTACTGTACAGTATTAGTACTTTTACTGCAACTTAGTATTTGTACCCTGTGGTATTTATACTTTTACTGTACCAAAGTATTTTTACTTTGTGATATTAGCATTTCTACAGTGTGGTAATAGTACTTTTACTGTAACAGACTATTTCT